CTACTTTCACAAAAAAAACCCCCCCCCCCCCCCCTTCTTCCTTATTCCCAAGCTTGGAGCAGTTTCAGTTTTTTTTTTTTGAGTAACCCTCACTTATTTTATCATGAAAAGTGGGAGGAAAATTAAAAGAAATCGTGTTTCTTAGGGTCTGATCCCATTAGTCCCACTATAACGGTTATGCACCCCCTATAGCAGGAAAATTCTCGCTATAGCAAGTTGACGTCAGCCCAAATTAAATTTAAATTCAGAAATTTTTGTCGTGTCACCCTCAATTTAAATTGATAGCGTATTTCAATTTTTTTGGAATTCTACACGAGTTTCCTTTTGAATAATGACGGAATAGGTCGTTACAGTATTAAGTCAGTGGAATAATATTTTAGGAAAGAGAAAATAGTAAATTTTATTAGAGATAGTAGAGAAAATGATGTGTTAGATTTTATGGAGTTCTTTCTTTGGAGCTAACAAAGAAGATAACAATGGTGGATTTTGGTAGCCACGTAGAGTCAATAGTTAAATGTAATCTGTTAGGTTTACAATAAATGATCAAAATAACACCTTTTGTTATATATTATAGATCATTTCAATCCAGTGGAATATATTAAAGATCAAAATGAACACATTTGTTATACATTAAGAACTATTTCAATCAAGTAAAATATATTAATGATCAAAATAAAGCATGACCCATACATTATAAATCTGTTAGATTTAGAATAAACGATCAAAATGAACACCTTTTGTTATATATTAAAGATCATTTGATCAAAATGAACACCTTTGTTATACATTAAGAACTATTTCAATAAAGTAAAAATATATTAAGGATCAAAATAAAGCATTACTCGTACATTAAAAACTATTTTTGATAATTTTTTGGGAAAATTGTATGAAATGACAAACTATTAATTCAAATTAAATGTTATAGCCATAATTTCTTTTATTTGTAATTCGCAGTAAACATTCCATATTTTTTGCCATCCCATTTGTATACCGAAATATACAAATGCATGACTCATTTGTATACCGAAATATACAAATGCAGGACCCATTTATATACCGAAATATACAAATAGACTCAAATACATATTGTATTTTTTATGTATATGTATACCAAAATATACAGATTAATAATCATTTGTATACTGAAATATACAAATGCAGGACCCATTTATATACCGAAATATACAAATAGACTCAAATACATATTGTATTTTTTATGTATATGTATACCAAAATATACAGATTAATAATCATAGCAAATCTAAAGTTTGCTATTGAGCGCAATTATACAAACTATCGCTATAACATACAAATATGATTTTTATGTTTGTTAAACCTAAAATTTACTCTAATTTTTTCGCATAAACTACTTGGGTTAAATATTTTCAAAATAGATATAGATCGTAATTTTCTCATAAAAGCTACCTTTTAATTTTGTCAATAGTTTGACCGTTCGAGCCAATGAATTCATTTTCATAATTTTGATTTCCCCCCTTTAACTATTACTATTTTATTTTGATTTGATATTATTTATTTTCTTAAAAAGTATTCATTTCGTTCACTTTTACCTGTTACTAATTAACTTGACTCCCTCGTTAGAAAAATAATTATTGATATATGTATTTTACCACACTATTTCTATTAAATAATATTTATATTAAGTCTTGAAAAATGATTTGAAAAATAAGCATTTAATGCTGATAGTAAAACATGAAAAAAATATTGTTTTTTCTTGATATGTCAAAACTCAAAAGTTACAATTAAATATAAAAAATTATTTTAAAAATAAGTGATAAATAAAAATGAACTGAAAAGTATTTGTTACTCTATACAAGTGCAAAGTTAGCATTTTTCTCCCTCTCTGTCTCTTGGACAATAGAACTTCCCTTGAGATTTCTTAAAATACTTTGAAAACATTTTCATTCCTTTTTCTTTAACTACTACAAGTCAACACATTTAATAAAAATATTTTCTGCTAAGTCCAATTTAATTGGAAAGCTATAATACAAATAGTTGGGTTGGAAACTGAGTTTTTCTAAAATTAATTATCTTAAAATAAGTTATTTTATTATATACAAAGTAAAATAATTTTATATTTTATCTCGAAATTATTATATCTTATGCCTCACAAATTATTTATTTTGAAATTATTAACGTAAAGATTTTAGACAAAATTTTTACTCCCACCTAATCTCACAAACCTTTTACCTATTCCCCAATTAAACAAAAACCCCAAAATCCCATCAGCTCCCCCGCTTCCCCTCATCTTCCTTCTCATTTTCACTTTTTCCCCATTTGCTCACCTCATCTCCCACTTTCCTCTCTCTCTAAGCACCCTTTTCTTCCTAACCTCTCTGTCTCCTTTCCCACGAGATTCTCCATCAAAAATAGATTTTTTTTTAGGGTTTTCTCTGCTACCAAGACTCTGTTTTTATCTATATTTATAGCTGTTTTTCTACTTTTCTTGCAAAAACCCAAGTGGGTTTTGCTAAATATAATCTTAATCTTTGTTTGGGCGGAGTTTTTGAGGTGGGTTTTTGTTCTTCTTCGTTTTGCGATGCAATCCGATCTTTATCACTGTCAGATGTGATGACTATTTTTGTTAGTCAATGGCTTTATCTCTATCTTTCTTCGCCACACTTCATTTGACCCTACTCTTCTTAGTGTTTCTCGTAAACCCTTTAGCGATTAATGGTTATTCAGACGAGGATATAGACTCTGAGTTCATTCTTTTCCATCAAGATTATACCCCACCGGCGCCACCACCTCCGCCGCCGCACCCGCCGTCGGTATCATGTGAGGATGATCTAGGAGGTGTTGGATCGTTGGATACTACTTGTAAGATTGTATCCAATGTCAATATAACCAAGAGTGTGTATATAGAAGGGAAGGGGAATTTTTATGTCCTTCCTAATGTTACCTTTAAGTGTACTTTCCTGGGTTGCGAAATTGGAATTAATGTCACTGGGAACTTTACTTTGGGTGAGAATTCCGTGATTCTAGCTGGAACGTTCCAGCTGGTGGCAGATAATGCTACGTTTAGTAATAGTTCTGCTGTGAATACCACTGGTTTGGCTGGTTCAGCGCCTGCTCAGACGAGTGGGACACCACAAGGAGTGGAGGGAGCAGGTGGGGGTTATGGTGGAAGAGGGGCTGGTTGTTTGACGGATAAAAAGAAGATGCCGGAGGATGTCTGGGGCGGTGATGCTTATGGATGGTCCACATTGCAAACACCGTGGAGTTATGGAAGTAAAGGTGGGACAACGAGTAAGACCGTGGACTATGGTGGGGGTGGAGGTGGAAGATTAATGCTGTTGGTGGACAAGTTTCTAGAAGTGAATGGCAGTTTGTTGGCTGATGGAGGTGATGGAGGTGTCAAAGGTGGCGGCGGCTCTGGTGGTAGCATCCAGATAAGAGCTTATAAGATGTAATATTTCTTTTGCTTTATTTTCCATTTCTTACTATATATTTAGAATTTCAATTTTCAGTATCTCTGTGCCCTTGATTTCCTCCATATTATTAGTTTGTAATGTTGTTAGTAGTGTTACTAGAAATGTGGATATTCTTGTAATCCCATAATTCTTAGTGTTCGGTAGGTTCATATGTTTGTATGTGAATATGTTTCCTTTTCTATAGGATGATGACTCGTTAGACTGTGAGTTGATAGGGGATAGTAGAGTTGTTTTTGAGGGAATACATGGAACTCTCCACCTGTGGGACAAATAAAAGGAGTTTGTCACTTGTTAAGGTGCCCCAACATGTAGGTAGCATGACATTCAATGAGCCTTTGGTTTGCACTGGATTTTTTGTGAATGATTATGTCATGTTTCAATGAATATCTTCAGCGAATGCATGGTATCATATCACTGTAAAATATGCTTATGCCAAGTTCTCTTGCGCAAGTACAAGACTGTACTTGCTCACATGGTTGTTTCCACATCATTAAATATGTTAGCTAGATACATGCGATAGGTTTGAAGAACCATGCTTGAATGGATTAAAATAAGTTTGTTTTGGAGGATGGAGTTGGCTGAACTTGCTGAGATATCATCAGGAACATGGAGGCCCAGTAAGTTGAAAAGAAGAGGTGCGAAATTTCTTGCTACTAGCTCAAGTGAAAACAGGAGTAGATGGACCTACAGTAATGCACTAGGGTTTGGAGGTGTGCTTCTTGGGAACCTTCGTGGTGGCGTATGAAAGTTAGTAATTTTATCTAATGAATTTCCTACATAGCTAGAAGCCAGTGTGAGAAGAAAGGATAAGGTACATCTGTGCTTGGTGTTCATGATGACAAAGAATTCCTCTGTGCTGCGCTAGGAACAACATGCATATACTCTCCATCAAGACATAGACTCTACTCATAAAGTTTTGGTGGAAGTGTGCATATTGCAAAAAGGAAGATGAAAGTTTGATTGTATGAATATTTGTGAAGTCATAGGTATTTGAAAGATTCCTTGCTATCTATGCATGCTAGTAATTTATAGATACATCTGTTGACTAGTTTGGTCTTCAAATATTTACGCCGAACAAAACAGAGATTCAAATATTTTATGTTGACCTTAGATACTATGAGAAAGAGAGGAGAGATATTAATTACTAGATATATTTATGAGTGCTAGATCTACATCTACATTTGGTAACAGGTAAAGCTTGGAGGCTGTTTTGGGAGTACAAGCTCTACCCCTCAATAGGTCTTAAATATGAGACACATGATGTTTTTCTGACGAAGGACAAGTTCCTACTTAAGACTTAATTCTTATAAAACACTGATCCTTAAGACTTAGCTCTTCTATTACTTTAAAATTAATTCTACATGCTAACACTAATTCTTTAACATTTTTTTTTGATGAAGTAACACTAATTCTTTAACATTCTAAGACTCCCCTTCAATCTCAAACTAGAAAACGAATTTGAGTATGTCTTTTTAAGTGGACAGCATCCCAAGAAACTAAGAGATCTATTCAAAACTGGAGAATTAATAGAAAAAACTTATGTACGATGAACCACTGATGATAACCGAGCAGTAGCACTCACATATGACTTTCTCATTGAAAACAATAGCTTATTTTTTCAGTCATACCAAAAGGACGTGCTTTTCATGCCAGGTATATGTATTGAATCGTGAAGTTCATGTCTTGGTTTAGAAAATAAATACCATATTAATCTACACTTTGCCGACACCCCCTCCCCCAACAACCCTCTCTCTTGCATGAGGAGATAAGATTTTGTTAAATTCTTCATCTATAATACTCACCCTGCATCAGTGTGGTGGGTGATATGGAAGGAAGAAACCAGAGAATTTTAAAAGAAAGAAAGGAAGTTAATTGTGAAGCTCAAGAACAAATGTAGTTATAGTCTAGATCTTTGGTGCAAGACAATGGATGCAAAATGATGTACTCCCTCCGTTTAAAAAAGAATGACCTCCTTTCCTTTTTAGTTTGTTTAAAAAAGAATGCCTCGTTCTTTTTTTGGTAACATTTTACTTTTAGCTTTCCACATTTAAGACCACAAGATTAAAGGGTAATTTTGTACATTTGACATAACTTTAATTTAGGACCACAAGATTCAAAAGTTTTTATTTTCTTAAACTCCGTGCCAAGTCAAACTAGGCCACTCTTGTTGAAATGGAGGGAGTATATAGTTTGATAGTTCCGTAGTTACTTATATGTGTACTGAATAAATTGAATTTTATTTTGTAGTGCACATGCCAATACACCACCCTGGTGCCAGTACAACTTTTAATAAATGTGCCATGTGATAAAAAACGTCCTAATATATTCATGTAGTTTTTCTATTTTATAAGAATGGGAGCGAAGTTTACTTTTCAAAAAGAAACTAGACAAAAGTTGTCCTATCAGGCCCCCAAGGCCTAGCTCGAGTGGCAAAAGGTGGAGGATTTGTGGCTTAGGTCGTAGGTTCAAGCCCCACACCATGCAAAGCGAAGCCCGGTATTTAAGTGGACTAGTGGAGAAGGGTAGAGGGGCGGGCCCATTATCCACCGAGTTTAGAAGGCTGTGATTGGTCCAAAGGGCGGGTCACAGACGGATTTCTTTCTCGGTTATCCAAAAAAAAAAAAAAGTTGTCCTATCAGAAAGAAACAAAGAATGGAAGATGAAGGGTTTAAAGGATGTGAAAGATCAAAGAAAGGATTGATATATCAAATGCTGATGATCACATGCCTGTGAAAAGTACCTGAAGCTTTATATGTACTACTGGGAGCTTGCTCTGTGAACTAGAAGAATGATTTGTGGTAATGGTTCATTGAAAGTGGGATTTCTTTCCTTAAGTTGTTGTGTTTACTTGAACTGAATGTCATCCTGATTCACTGATTTGTTTTATGCTGTTTAATTATTCAAGTCAATTCATTTATGTCATTGAGGCATCTCGGAAGTGCCTCCTAAAGATCTTGACTTGGATAGATGAGACTCAGGGCCTCCAAAAATGAATCCAAGCATCTTTAGACTTGAAACTTCAGAAATACTGTGCTGGCTTCGAGAGCTAGCTGAATGTAATATTATTGTAACCTTCACTATCATGAATAGGCTTTTGGTTTTAGGTTTTCATGCCTTGTATTTGAATAAGACGGTATCCTAATATCTTGAGTAAGGTTTCCCCTTTTGATTTTGGAGTAAATTCATTTATGTAGGGAACGTCGGAGATGGATGTGACTCTTTGAGGCTAAAGTCTTCTAAAACATCACTCCAAAATTTTGTAATCATGTATAAATATGCTCTTTCTCTAACAAATTCACATGTTATATTTGGCACTCAAGTAGATCTTTGTAGTGAGTGGTGTGCAATACTATGATGAGAACTTGCAATTCAACATGTATTTTGTTTTTGATAATCGAGAAATCTCCATTGGGTTTGTTAGCCCAAACATCTACCGGTTCACAAATTCAAAACTTGGGCCTTCCTTTATTTGTTGAATCATTGCTCTGGGGGCTTGCTATATGAATAAGGTATACATTAGAATTAGAGTATATTTTTCAGGTCCTTGATGCATACTCAACACTTTGATTATCATAAGTGTAGTATCCTATTTCTGTTTAGAAGTCTGGTTTCTGTCAACCTTCTAAATTTTATTTTTTGGTTGTGTTCTTCTATTTGGGGCAAAGCTTTTCCAAGAGCATTATGGTTCATGTGATTTTTTTTAAAATAAAAAAATTATACTAATACAAACAAGAGAGACATTTGTGTGTGAGAAACAACTTTTTTGAAATTGGGATCAAACATTCTTTTACTGAGTTACAGATACCTGAATACATGGAAATTTTCGACACAAAATGGTCGTAACACATACTTATATTTTCGAAATGTTAGAAGAAGATTCCTCTGATGTACTCTCTCTAATCCTTCTTGGTGCTTTATATAAAATCTTTACCTTTTCATCATAAGTGAGGGAGGGAGAAGATGACGGCTTTTACATGCTTAGTCTAATCAAATACTTCAGTGGACATAAGGGGCATATTTTTCTTCATTAATGCATCAATTTCCAAGGTGGCTTTGTGAATGCATCAATTTCATAAATTTTGACATCGAAGTGGATATAGTCATTTATACAAAAGGCTCTAAATAGCAGCACATTAAAAAAAAACATTGAATGTGACACTTGATGTTTGCATCTTCTTGTTCTCCTCGATCTATTTCCTTGTTGATTCTGTTTGTCTTGTTACAAGTTTCTGTTGCTCCAAAAAAGAGCCTAATAAGTCTTTTTTTTTTTCTCAAAAGTTGTTCCTGCACCTAAGAAAGCTTGGACAAAATAAATAAAAATATCAATGTTGTTAATGGCTCTCTTAAGGGGTTTAAACCCTGAATTCTCTGTGAAGTAGAGGTTGTACGCTTCACCTCTCTTGATTGCCGCTTAGGTGTACACATCAAGGTGCTAAGGCAGCTGCACCTTCACTTATGGGTTCTGTCTTTAAGGGCACAACATTGTATATGTAGCTGACTTAATAGTGTTTCCTTTCTTTTGTCTAAATAATTATTGTTCATATTTATATTTGCATTCTCTCGCATTACATTTTTAATTGTTGTTTTCTCCATAGACTCTTTTCTCCACCTACTCTAAGATATGGTGGCCCTTCTTGCTAGCTCTTTTGTTCTGGCAGATGTATAGTGAATATGATTCCATGGTCTTCTCACACGGGCAGGACACCACCTTGTTGCTGCCATCAACTTTGTTACATTAACCTAATAAATTAGTTTTTGTTCCGTTGTAGGTAAACGCTATTCACTTCTGAAAATTGTGTATAGAAGGTTACCTTTTTTTTTTTTGACAGGAGTGTATAGGTCACCTTAAAGAGACAAAAGGTAGAAACCTGCTGTATGAAAGAATATTTGACCTGTTCCGATGCATTTATCTTACTCTTTGAATGGCTATATATGCATTCATAATTTTTCCCCTCATCTTACCTTCCTGGATGATCCCTATTTTTTTCTGTATCTGTTGGTTATCAGCAGTTGTGAACAGTGAACTAGTGATTTCCGTCTTTTACCTGTAAGAGTAATTTTGAAACATTTGAAATGGAAGCCCAAGTGGTTGACCTAGAAACTTTTTTACAATAGGTAGTTAATAGAGATGGACTAGGTCAACTACTTGGTGTGTTGCTTGTCAGTGTCCTTGGTGACTGTGGATCCCATCCCTTATCAAGCTGAAGTAGTTGAAATGAGGAACAAGGAGAGCCTTTATTCAAATAAATTCTATTTTATGATGACCTTCACCCAATTATGTCCGTAATAAAATAGGGGGTTTGTTCTTTATAAAAAAAATAACATAGGGTGTTTTCTGTGACCTGTACTCTGCTTTTCCTATGTTTGCGGAGCATATGTATTTCTGACCAAATGTGAGAGGATAGGGATAACCCAAGGGTGTGACCTAGTGATCATTGTAGGAGAAACATGAAGTCTCAAGTTCAAATTCAAATGGAGGCAAAAAGTTCTTTGAATCTGCTGTAGTCTTGGTGGATGGAGTTTCCCGTTACCTGTGTTGATGGGATGTAGTAGGTACTCGGTGAAATAGTCGAGGTTGGCACAACTTGGCTTGAACACCATCATTGCAAAAAAAGAAGAGGGAGCATAGGAACAGAAATTATAGTACAATTCGGGAAAAGGGGTACTTGTGGGTGGGAACATCTCTACTGAAAGATTATTCAATAGGATAGGTGCTGCCGTGCATGACTATAGAAGTAATGAAGCAGAGAAATATATGATGTTAGATCATGTGTTTGAGTTTTGCTTCTAGAAAAGATGATAGGCTAAAAATGAATCTGTTTTGTAATATACACCAAGGTGGTGTTACTGACATAAGGTTAGTACAATAATACACTAAACCTTCCAAAACTCTAGCAGCCATCTATGCAACATGTTATTTCATGTTTATACACAACAAACAAACGGAACAATAGAGATATATGTCCATCAGTATTTATTTTCAATTCCTGATTTCCTTCCTTATTTCTCGTATTCCTCTCTGTATGAGACGATAGATACACATTGGGGTGCTCTTCCATATCTTTCTCTTCATGTGTTCATCCTTAAGCTTGCCAATGTCACTCCATCTGTTATAGTTAGCACCTAGGAGATGAGATGGCTTGCCTAGCTGGATGACAGTTAAAATAGGCCAGTTTTAACCTTAAGCATCGCTAAGCGATTACAACCTAACTTGAGAGGATCATTGGTTTTCTTCTTAAAATAACTTTTTCCACCTGATATGTAGCGCACATATAGAAATGCTGAACTCTTCTAAATCTGCAGTATCTCCTTAGTTTACTCGATCAAACCAATGGTTTAGCTTGAACTTTTACATTTGTAATCAAGATATATTTCTGACGCATAGTGGGTACCTAATTCGGTGCTTTCTATGTGGTGTTCTCATAAATTGGACTACCCTGGAACAGCATAATGGCTTTGTTGACATTTTATTACATTTGCCTAGCCCAGTTATTGGTATGTCTTAAGTTGCAAAAAAGAGTCAAATGCCTTTGCCTGCACTGCCATTTAACCCTTCCTTGTTAACCAAATGCAGGACTGGAATTGGTAGAATAAGTGCTTGTGGAGGTGATGGTTTTGCTGGTGGAGGTGGTGGAAGAGTTTCTGTGGATATTTTTAGTAGACACGATGAACCAGAAATCTTTGTATATGGTAAGGCTAAGTTTATCTTGCATGTTAGGATAATTGAGCTAGGGAGCCAAGCTTTGGAGAATTGACCTTCTCATGCTTTTGGATTTTATATTGCACATGGTCAATTAAACAACTATCTCTGCATAGCAACTATTCCCTTAGCAGGTTCATGCCTGATCTCTTGTCTGGATGAAAGATTTACTCTAGAAATACTTGTTAATAAACCTCATCATGTAGGCTTCAGTACATAGTTAATTGTGGCCTTTGGATAGGTAAAATGCTTGATTTTTCTATATCATTTCATTCAGATGTACTAAAGGCAATGCGACCTCCTTTTTCTGCCTGCAGGAGGAAGCAGTCGTGGTTGCGCAGAAAATGCTGGCGCAGCCGGAACTTTCTATGATAATGTCCCCCGCAGTCTTACTGTCAACAACCACAATAGATCAACTTCTACAGACACACTCCTGTTGGATCTTCCCCAGCCCCTTCTGACGAATGTTTATATTCGCAACCACGCTAAGGCTGCTGTCCCCTTGCTGTGGAGTCGCGTTCAGGTTGATGGATCTTTCTTTTGCATTTTCAGTTCTTTCATGAAAGTAACTAGATGTGTACCTCGATTAATTAAACCTTTTTGACACTGAATCTATTGAGTGAAGCATCATAGAGAAATGAAATTTTCCTTGAGCCTTGGTAAGAAGTTTTGATGTTTCTATTATCAAAAAAAAGTTTTTCTGTTAATTCTCTAGAAATATAGTCCCATCCTTCTCTTTTGTTCTATATTATGTATGCCAAGCTCTTGCTGTCAGTATATTACATATGTTTCTCAATGATTGCTGCATGGTTATGCAATTAATGCTTTATTTTGCTTTGTTGGTTTAGTATTTATGGCTCCACTTTGTACTTCGCAGATTTAGGTGTCTTTAACTTGTTTTATTTGATTTTCTACAGACGGGTTTTAGATTGGAGAAAAGGAATTGTTCTGGTTTCCTCAATTTATTTGTACTGATGCTTTACCAATACTTTTAAGTTGTACAGATAACCTGATGCATTGTAAGATAAATTTCGAAATTGAGTTATGTTCCAAATTATGTAACTCGTGGTATTTCTAGATTATGTGTCACAGGATGGGCATTGAAGCTGAAAAGGTTTAAGTTCTGCTTGACGTCTAACTTCTTTTCATCTAACATGAACTTGATTTCCCATGTGAAAGGAATATGTAAAAGATAGCAAAGAAAAAATCCCAAGAGGAATGGGGGTCCAAGCGCTCTCAAAGAATAAAATGATACAAAAGACTGATTCTTTTTTGTTTTTCCAGTAATACAGGTGTCTTTATAACACCCCTTTTAATTGAAGAATTAGTTAATTCCGAAGCCTATAATCAATTTACTTTTGCCCATTAAAAAGCTAAACAAGTGAAGTGTTTGTTTTGACCTTGAGGTGACTTCATGAATGCCTTGGGTAACTTTGCTAGCATATTGCGTCATAGTGGTTCTCCATCTGCCTTCTGTTTGCACCTCTGCTTTTGTTTTTCTGGTTATAAGCATTTTATCTCTCTCATATAGGTCCAAGGTCAAATTAGCCTGTTGTGTCAAGGAACACTGAGCTTTGGGCTGGCACGTTACGCGATGTCAGAGTTTGAATTATTGGCAGAAGAGCTATTGATGAGTGATTCTGTAATTAAGGTAAGCGGTAGAATCTTGAAGTGCCCCCTCAAGCCATTTTTGTGGTTATATCGAAGTGCGCATGGAATGTTTCAATTGTAAACTCTTTTGCACACATATATTTCGTTTACAGGTGTCTTGGTGAACTCTCACTGTTACAGTCTAACTTGTGCCTCTACTTGAATCAATTTCTAGCTGTTCTTATTTTGATGCATGTACTTGTATTGACCACTGGAAACATCAACACATTCAATTATATTGTGGTGTGGCTACTTTACTGCAGAATGTAGACACTTGTTAGAATCAATGCATGTCTTCCCTAAAGCTATACATGAAAGTTGAAATAACAGCTTAGCTACTATCAGGCCTCCTCACTGTAGTAACGTAATATACCCTAATAAGCTTAACTAACCATTATCCATAAAGGTCTCCTTAAGTCTTGCAATTTCTGATACTGTAATATGAAAGCGTAAAAATAATTTTAAATGAAGAGAGAGGCTCCAGGGGTAACTACAGCTGAATAGACTGAAACAGGCCTCTTTAGCTTTGATACCAGCTTTTCACATTGCTGTCTGTATAAGGCCTTTTGTACTTAAAACTTAAAAAGTGGCTCTCCTTTTACTATAGATGCCAAAAGCTATCAAGTATCACAACAACTCTGTATTTTGTGCAATGTGCAGCACCAGTTTTAAAACTGTGGTCCAGCACCATTTTTCTTTATTGAAAAAATTATTTGCACGTCTATGAGCAAAAGCAGAGTTTATATTTTGCTTTCCTTGTTGATTATTTTTGGGGTCATAAGCAGCCAAATGACTTGGGATCCTCTGTATATTGTTTCTTATTTTATTGTAGATTAATGTTTCTATCATGATTAAGAATTTAGGGAAGAGTTCTTCATAAAAAATAATAATTTAAGGAAGAGTTCTCATAATTATTTATTGAGATCAAAGAGAAACTGGAACTTTATTCACTGATGATGTCTGGTCTAAATTGCTGCTTCTGTTCTCATCATGTTATATGCTATTATACCAACTTCATCCAGCCTCAGTTTCACTTGTATGGTTTTATGCTTACTTTTGGTTTCTTTGGCCGTAGTTCTTCACTGTGCTTCTAGAAAACTAGAAGCATGATTCAATTGCAGCTCTTGTACTTGTTGTCCCCAATGCTGTGTCTTGTATTAATGTAGTTCTGAAGTTTCAGTGATGTTATCTGACTTGTTTTTTTTTCCAGGTTTTTGGAGCGCTACGAATGTCTGTCAAAATGTTTCTGATGTGGAATTCACAAATGGTAATTGATGGTGGTGGTGATCAAAATGTTGAGACATCAATGGTTGAGGCTAGTAACCTAATTGTTCTTAAGGTGCTCTTTCTTTTCTGTTATCTGTTTTTCTTTGTTGTCTTCGTGCGTTTGTTCATTTGAGATGTCTTCTAAATGCCATCTTATGCAGGAGTCATCTCAAATTCGTTCGAATGCAAATCTTGGAGTTCATGGCCAAGGGTTGCTGAATTTGTCTGGACCAGGAGATGCTATTGAAGCTCAAAGACTAGTACTGTCTTTGTTTTACAGTGTCAACGTGAGCAGAAATCTTCTTCTGTATTGTATTATTTCTGTTCTTTGTAGGCGATGTGCAATAGATTTCTAACTGGTTCTATACTTGCTTTTGCTTGACCCTTGATTTTTCCTCGTTTCTTGATTTTTGCATCACAGTTAGTAATTCCTTTTCTCTCGCCTCCTTTCTGTGAATATCTGATGCATGATAATGTATGCCATAGTTGACACATCATATGCGTAACTGCTGTTAGTGTTCCATTGTCTCACTTGCAAGGTGGTAACTGAGCACAATCTTTGCTCAGGTTTTCACATGGTCTATGTTCTGCCTTCATATATAGTTTGAGTTGATCATTTTGTTCTATATATTATATCTCCTTTTAATTTCTTCCCTACTTTTCTCTTACTGCATGTAGATTGGGCCAGGATCCGTTTTGCGTGGTCCTTCACGAAATGCGACAGCAGATGCTGTGTGAGTTGCTAACTACTCCTTGTTCCTTCTCCCTATTCTTTCTTACCTAAGATGCTTCTTTGATTTGCTAATGGGATATTTGGTGCTTGGTAGGAAACCAAAGTTGAACTGTGATAGTCCAGGTTGTCCTTTTGAATTGCTCCATCCCCCTGAAGACTGCAATGTGAACTCTTCATTGTCCTTTACTTTACAGGTGCCATTTTTTGCCCAGTACCAAAACAAAAATCTGTATATAATATGTGCATTGATTGTACATTACACTTGTGCTACTCTAATACTTCCTTTATGTGCAGATCTGTCGAGTTGAAGATATCCTTGTTGAAGGCCTCATAGAAGGATCTGTTGTTCATTTCCACAGAGCAAGGACTATAGATGTGCAACCTTATGGAATTATTAGCACATCGGGAATGGGTCTGATCTTAATTTCCTTCAGTTTTATATTTGATGTGACCATCTTAAGTTTGTTTTATGTCACCCCCTTGTTTTTAGTATCTATAGGCTTTCCTTAGGCAGGGTTTAGTGATTGCTCAGATCAAATGTTGCACTCTTCCATCTTTAGGTTATTCAAAATGTATGATAAGCTTGAGAAATACTAGTGATATATACTATTCAATGCTTTGAGAGTTCAAATTCCTTTGTTAAAGGGAGTCAACTTTCTTATATAAAAACGCCCGAAGTTTAGATGCAATTTTCAATAATTTATTTGTCAAACAAATCAAACTACAACAATTTACTTAATTTATCTCTAAATGTAACATTAACCCCATTGTTTCACCTATTTCATTTTGTCATCTTCACAGGCTGCACTGGAGGAGTAGGCCAAGGAAAAGTTCTGAGCAATGGTCTTGGTAGTGGTGCTGGTCATGGTGGTGAAGGCGGATATGGATATTATAATGGAAGCTGCATTGGGGGTGGCATCACATATGGAGATCCCACTTTGCCATGTGAACTCGGCAGTGGAAGTGGGAATAGTAGCCTAGCTGGATCAACTTCTGGTGGTGGCGCTCTTGGTAAGTTTGAGTTTGTCTTCTTGACTATATTCCCCAACTTCCACTTTCTTCCCTGCTGTAGCTTTCTCATAATTTAATCATCTGATGTTTCTTTTATGAAAAGTGACCAACCTGCAGATGGATGATATATTAATAATGTGTAATTGAAACAAATTGCGTAAACATCTATTGCTTTACTGATTTTGTATTAAAAGTGGAAAATTCTTCATATGGCTTGAAGTCTCCTCCATACGCAGTAGAATCATTATCATGGCATGCTGTGGGTGTGACTGCAAAACGGCAATGTATGCTTTGTAATACAGAAATTTAAATGTTAAGCTGCAACAGTTTTAAATGCCACTTTTTTTTTGTTTTGTTTTGAGAATGGTAACAATTAGTCTATACAATTATACTCCAATGGCACTATCTCCCTAATAGATGTACTAGACTCAATTTTGGATCAGATAGCTGGATTTGCTGAATTGTAAATATGGCTCAGTACTGCCTGCCTATGTACTGTTGTAGTAATTTACAAAGTTACATGTTTCAAAATTAGTAGGCGTTTGGCATGCGATATGAAATCAACTTTTAGACATGCGATTTCATGCTGATTTCATATCATGAGATGAAATCCCAAATTCTCCAAAAATCATGTTTTGGGAATTTCAAATCATGATTAGGTCCCAAATCATGATTTAGGATTTTCCAAATACAAAAATTGACCCACAAGTTTATATTTTGATAAAAACAACTCCACATATATATCTACTAACCATTTATTTCATATGTAAATAAATTTTATAATTCATATCATTACTTTTAAAACCATTTATATCTCTAATCAGAGATGTTTTGAGAACAAGAGCATCCCTTTCCAAAGCATTAAAATGAATTGTTTAGTGACCTTTTACTTTTGGTGTATCCATTCTATTCCCAAGGATCCGGGGGACATCACCCTATTCTTAGATAGTTTATGAGGGAGATAGGTGTTTAGTTTCTTTTTGGTAAACCCTCTATACTTTTGATGTAATTACTACAGGAGTTTCACTATTGGTGTACTTCTATGTTTATAATACCAGTTAACTTTCCCAAAAAAAAAAACCATTTATATCTCTGATTATTCTCACAAACATAGAATATATTATTACTTCAAATCAATTTCTACTCTTGTCATTTATATTCACCAACTTCATTATTTTTTATCAAATATATTTACCAATCAAATTGAACAACAAATGACTCAAACTAACAATGTTGGCTCGTTTTTTCAATCATATGAACGAGAAATGCAAGTTCAACGTGAGAAGATTGTCCGTACTTTGTTGGAGGATTATATAAAAGAGTAGTACACCAAAACTTATGTTTAATTTCATTTTTTATTGAATTAAAACTTGATCAATAAATATTGTATTTCTTAAGAAAATCTTTGTGATAGTATATTATGCGATTTTGTAAACTTGTGCTTATTTGGTAAGATTGTATAAAGAATTGGGACAATTTTAATAGTTTTACAACTTATGGGTTTTTATGTTTATGAGAAAACATACAACATACAAAGTCTAAATTGCATGTCCAAACAAAACTTCAACTTCATCTCGTGATTGCATATCACATGGCCAAACGGGGCCCTTAGTCTATATATCCACCAGGAATACTACATCAAAATATGTAGTCCCCCCTTCAAAAGTATTACAGCCTACAGCTTGAACAACTATCTGTTGTTTCTACGAATAATCTAAAACATCAAAAATATCTTCCGTTTGAGCTATTAATTTCTGCTTACACAAAAAATAAAACAGAGCTAAACAATTCATTTGAAACTCCTGCAAGTTGCTCTACTTTTCTTCAGAACATCTCCTATTCCTTTCTTTTAACACTGTCCATGAAATGCATGCAGGGACAATCTTCCATCTTCCTTCCTTTTTGGCTGTATTGCCATCCATGTTCCAGCAGTTTAGCAGTACTTTTAATTTCCCTGGCCTCACCCATTTAGTCCTCAGATAAATGAATATTTCCACCACTGGTTTGTCCACATACAATGTAAAAGAAGATGGTTGATTGTCTCCGCCTGTTCCCCACATAATACCCATCTAGAACATAGATGAATACCTATCTTATTCAAATTCTCATGTGTCAATACTACTTCTTTAAGCAGAAGCCAAGTAAAGCAGTTCACTTTATGACAAATCTTCCATTCCCTTTTGTCCCACATTATAACAATGTCACCCCTAATCCCACTTCTTTTTGTCGCATCTATAGTGAGAGTCTTAAATTTGATCGAGGTCAGACCCACTCTGCATTCATTGTGTTTTGATCCAAAAATCAGATTTTGTTGGATGAATTGATCACCTCATTACTTTAACTTTGAAGGAGAGACATCTCATTCAAATCCCCCCCCCTCTGAGTGGTATACGTAAGTACAAAATCTGCACCCAAGTATATGGTTCTTTACAAATAATACACAATTATATATGCTAAATACTAATACATACCTCAATGGTGCACCAAAATTTAACCAGTTACTGGAGACTAGCGGTCAGTGCAAAATCATTTCCACACTTGCCAAGCTTCCCTTTTTCTTCTTAAGTACCACATATTAGCCAAAGGTTGTTTTGTCACATGCTTCTACATCTTCTAATCCTTTATCAGAAAACCCTGCTGAACATAACATCCTTTACTGCAGTATGTGATGTTCCAATCAGACTCAGTACCATCCACCATAATTGACTAGCAACCAAAAGTGACTTGTAACAAATGGTCCACATCTTCCCTCAAGCGTTGTACATGTGACACTGCTAGTTACTCCCCAACTAGTTTAGGATTGAGTCATAGTTGGGTGTTCCTTGATTGAAGATCTAGGGTCTTCGTGTTCTCCAAAATGGCAATAATTATATAACATATCCGAATCTAATACTATTTCTTCCATTGTGCTCTTCCTCTTTTTCTTCACTTCTCCATTTAAGGTCCAAATACCCTTTTCTATAAATAAAAAATTTCCATTAATAAGCACCAAGTCGGTGTTGAAAAGTAAGTACAAGATGCACTTGAGACAGTTGTCTTCCACCACGTTTACCCAACAAACGATGCAGAAATATCTTCTCCTTACACCAAAGTACAAGTGAAATAAAAAAGATCTCTTAGTACTTTCTACATCACTCTCTCGTTCCATATACTCCTATAGAGACAAGGTGGTCATGTTCCATGTTGCTTTTCTTTCATTGTTGACTCTCTCCAATCTTGAACTTGTAATTACTTCCTCCACTAAGGTCTAAGTAGTTTTGGCTGATAAAATGATTGGTTGTCCCTCTTTGATGAGGGAAGAGAGCATGGATCAGGTGATCCATTGGATTGTTCCAAACCAACCATCTTGGACCTAGAAAATTTGCTTTAGACGGAAAGGTTGACTAAACAGATAAAAGAGCTTGAAAAAAGTTATAGATTGTTTTTGAACCTCAGAGGAATAGCATGGAGCATGCCTGGGAAAATCAAAGAGGCCTTAGCAATCTGGGAACAAGCTGGGTCGTTGGCCAAGAATAGAGGCAGGTGGAGGATAGTCCCAACAAGCATTTGGTGGACAATATGGAAGGAGGGGAATTCTAGGTGTTTTGAGAGCATAGAGAACAATATGCAACAGATTAAGAGCCCGTTTGGATTGACTTAAAAAAAAGTAGCTTTTAAGTCAAAAATAAAAAGTCAAAACTTAAATGACTTTTAAGTCAAACAATAAAAAGTAGGGGGCACTTACAAAAGTTAAAAATGACTTAAAAGTAGGTTTGACCAACTTTTAAGCCAATCCAAACCTACTCTAAGATTAACTGCATCTTGCTACTGTGTTTTTGGTGTAATCAGTTACTTTTAAATGATCCTGTCGCTATTATTGATGTTTTAGACTCATTATAGACATAGGATCATAGAATCAAAGATGTAGGTAGTACTTTGTAACTATGGGGCTACTACAACTCTTGTAAGATTCATATTCTAACATATATAGACAAAGTTACCAATTTTTTTTAAAAATAGTTATAGATTGTTCTGCTAAGCTCACTTCGCTTCTTAAGCTCTGCTGATTATTTCAAACTAAAGCATTAGTGAACAAGTAAAGTATCTTGTAAATGTGATACACTCTTTTTTTTCAAATATGTCGGATAAAAATATCACATTTGCAACAAATTTTCTAACCTGTCAATTTCTGTGTGCTTTTTACTTATTTAAAGCCAGTATCAAGTGCAGGTGTTTGCTTGAATACTTATAATTCGTCAAAGGTATATCAGTTCTGGTGTGAATGTTATCCTGGTGCATTACACATTGAATGATGTCCAATTACATGCTATTATTCGATTATTTGTGAGGAATAACGATTATGGTTTTTAATGCTTTCTCGTAAGCCATCTTTGGATATTGTGTTAATTTGTTTTCTGTCTCTCTTATTTTTCTGTTGACATCTGAATGCAGTGATAGGTTCATCGGAGCATCCCCTGATATCTTTGTCGGTTAAAGGCAAAGTTGTCTCTGACGGGGACAGCTTTGAAGAAAGCTTCGGGAAATATTATCTAACTAGAGGTCAGTACATAGGGCCTGGAGGTGGATCCGGTGGAAGTATTCTATTATTTTTGAAATCACTGGATGTTGGTGAATCTGGCATCATGTCAAGCATTGGAGGGACTAGCAGTTCCAGTGGTGGTGGAGGTGGAGGTGGTGGGCGGATACACTTTCACTGGTCAGAAATTCCTACTGGTGATGTGTATCAACCTTTAGCGACTGTGAATGGAAGCATCTATACAAGGTTTGTGCTGATATGAAACAACATATTGCTAATAATTTTATTTTCACAAGTCGCACTATTTTTAAGGTGATTTGCGATAAATGTGGTTCATTTGATAGGTTGTGGATAGCTTGTGTAGTCATCTTAGTGCATCTTTGTTTGGTCTAGTTGTTGCACTATAGAAATTGCTGGAGCAGACTGGGCCATTTTTTCTGTCTGCTAGTGTGCTGGTAATACCGTGTTTAAATGCATCAAAAGATGGGCAATCTTATCTTCGTGAACAATTTACTTTGTTGACTGTATTGTTACACTATCAATAGATGCAAATAGTTAGACCTGAAATATCTAAATATTAAGTCTTGTGCTTGCATCTCTCTTTTATTTTTTTGGCTGCTACGCAATTTACTTTGCTATGTAGTTGACTTTCTTATCAAATTCTCTGGTTATAACTTGAAGATGCATGGTTTAACTTCAGTGACTAGATAGAGTTGTAGCGACACTTTTTTATTGTTCTCTTTGGAGGTATGGCATTACTGATTACATTGCTTATAATACTTTCTGAGCGTCTGATGACGCATTCTAATGAATTATCTCTTAGTGATGTAAGTTTATTAGTTGCATCTATTAGTATTTGTCCAATGAGCTAATGGGTAGGATGTACTTCAGAACCTCAAGTGCAATTTTGCTGCTTCATATATCCAAATATTAAGTCTTCGGTCTCAGATCCAGTTAAATAAGAGATAATACTAGGCTGCTAGAGAGTAGAGACTGAATTATTTAATCTTTTTCTTTTTGGAGAAAGTGACTGGATTAGAAGTTTTCCAAGTGTTGATACATTTGTTCTAGTTGGATACTATACTATGAATGTATTTAAGATTTCCATGACTGACAGCGCTCATTTAATTGAAGGTAGTACTAAGAATTCCATTGTAATTGTAGCTTCTTTGTGTATCTCAAACGTGTGTTGAAATTCTTACAAATACTCTCCTTACCTTCAGTTTTGAGTAACTTATTACGTCTTCTTCAGTTGAATTAACCAATTGTTCCTCGGATAACAATATCTGAAATATACAGAGCATAAAAAGTGTTCATAAAGCTTGTATCTTTTAGAAAGCATCTTTTTATTTGGTTATATTTACCTAGTGTCAGGAGCAGTTAGCAAGTAGTTAACACAGAATATTTCATCAATATGTTTTGATTATTGTTAGTGTGCTCTTTTTGTTCGGAAAGTTTCTTAAATTATTGTAATAACTTATGCTGGAGGTGAGTGATACTTGAATAGCCTCAGAAGAGATCTTTAATGAGCCTTCGAATCAATTAGTAATCCAGTACATTTGTTGACTTATCAATTTAATAATGGTTCCAGGAGTTTACGTTTGTTGTATTTCTGTCGTGTGTGCTGTTTCCTCAGGGGTGGATCGGGTGGAGAGCAAGGTGGTATTGGTGGAAGTGGAACTTTGTCTGGAAAGCCGTGTCCAAGAGGGCTTTATGGGATTTTCTGTGCGGTAAGTGCCAAATGATATCTATAAGCTTTTCGTTGTTTAAGGTTCTACTTGAAACAGCTTGAGAGAAGGTCAAGGAAAGAATTTCCTGAGGGGGTGGGGGGTTGTTTCTTTTTTTCATAACATCGACCTGTTGCCTTTTCCAACTGTTTTTTTCCTTCCCTGAATTCAGAAATGACTGGATCGATGATTTTCTCTTGTTTTATTGGAATTCCTCTGTTGTGTCTATACAGGAATGCCCACTTGGTACTTTCAAGAATGTCACGGGATCTGATAGAGCCCTTTGTATTTCATGCCCAAATGATGAACTCCCACATCGAGCTGTTTATATTTCTGTTCGAGGTATGACAAATGATGAGATGTTTATAGCAAGCTGCTAAGGCTTTCACCATATAATAGAGTAAATAAAGAGGCCAGATATGTGTTACTTTCCCCAAATATAGAGATGCTTTTTTTGCGGTGGGGGTTTGTTTAAAGAAAATAAGAAATGAATTTGTCAAGACACTTGGTGTTCAGTCTACTTATAAATAAGTACTCCGCGTTTAATCTCCTTCTTCATGAAAGTCTACTTGTTGATCGATAAGTAACATACAGAACATCTATATCAGTGAGATTAACTTGTATATCTGTGTATCTCTTGCATTGTGGACATATTTTTATGCTTATCCTGTTGCTTCAAAGTTTGTGAAATTTTGTTCTCTACACAGTTTCTATGCTGATTTATGGTTGATTCATTTTAAACTGACTTTTAAGGGGCTATCCTTGTAATAGGTGGTGTTACGGAACGTCCTTGTCCTTACCAATGTGTTTCAGAGAGATACCATATGCCTCATTGTTATACAGCTCTTGAAGAACTAATCTACACATTTGGAGGGCCGTGGCTGTTTGTTTTTCTCCTTTTAGGTTTTCTCATTTTGTTAGCCTTAGTTCTTAGTGTAGCTCGGATGAAGTATGTTGGTGTCGATGAGTCACCTGGTCCTGCTCCCACACAACAGGGTTCTCAAATTGATCACTCATTTCCGTTTCTGGAGTCGCTCAATGAGGTTTGTCCGATGTCTTGCTTGCTGATATATAACAATGCACTGTATTAGATTGTATACTTTTTTCATGGCTCAGGTGAAATTTGACATTTTCTTTCTTTCAGGTTTTGGAAACAAATAGGGTTGAGGAGTCACAAAGCCATGTCTATAGATTGTACTTTTTGGGTCCGAATACATTCAGTGAACCCTGGCATCTGTCTCATACTCCTCCCCAGCAAATAAAAGAAGTCGTGTAAGATGGGTTTTTTTTTTATTGTCCTGGTATCTTCAGTTTTCTTTTTTGTTTAGAGTGTCTTGCTTTGGCTGTTTCACATGTTTCATCGAAGTCTTTCTTCGGATAGGCTCTTTTCAAGTTTTCTCTTGCATTACTTCAGAAGGAAAATGAGGGAAGAGGATATATACATTTCTTTCTCCCTCCATTTTCCCTTGGTTGTTCTTCATTTTTAATTTGTTTTTCCTAAAATCTGGTTTTTTAATTTCATCTTCTTTCAAGAGTAAATTACGAACTGGGAAATAGCTATTCAGTGGTTTTGTATTTATCTGTCAGATATGAGGGTGCCTTCAACACCTTTGTGGATGAGATTAATACTATTGCTGCCTACCAATGGTGGGAAGGAGCAGTGCATAGCATTCTTTGTATCCTTGTGTATCCTCTTGCATGGTCATGGCAGCAATGGCGGCGTAGAATAAAGTTACAACGTCTTCGTGAATTTGTTCGGTCAGAATACGATCATGCTTGCTTACGTTCTTGTCGATCACGTGCTCTTTATGAGGGGCTGAAGGTTAGTTTATAGTGGACTTTGATCAAGTATCATTTACCATAATTTTGTGTTTCACGTTTAGAAACCAGAATGTGTGAAATTTTGCTTCTATTATTTGCTGTTCGAACTCCATTTTTTGTACTCTGGGCTTTGTGTATGATTGTTTTATGCAGGTAGCAGTCTCTTGGGTCTTTTCTAGTGGAACTTTATTTGTTCATTGATAAAGTGGCATAATCATTTTGTTAAGTTTGAAACTACAGCATCTTCAATCTGCCTGGTCTTAAGAGGACAACTATATCCTGTTGAGCAGGAAAAACAGCATCTCTATTATGGCATAGCTCTAGCCTCTACTTATTGTTAGTAAAAGCCATACTGATGTGTGCCTTTTAACTTGTATTACTTCGTACTATAACTCGAAGTTTGATTTCATCTGCTGTCTCTTCAGTTTTCCACTGTCCATTTCTTCCTAAAACTTAAAAGACTTCCATCTTAATTTTGTTTTTTTTCAGCCATATTCAACAGTTTCTAAAGGTTGACATATCTTAAGTGTTGCTTGGATTTGTCAGATGTTAAATTAAACTTTTTCTTAATATATTAATGATGATTTTCTTTTACAGTTTCAAAAGGTTTTAAGTGTTATTTCCCCCTGTTTTTATCTGGTCTTCTACGTAGAGTCCCAAAAGCAAATTTTACTGAAGCATATGGTTCGAGAATGACTTCTCAACCTTATCTTATGGGTCTCCATGATTGTAGGTTGCAGCAACACCTGATCTAATGCTAGCATATGTGGACTTTTTTCTTGGCGGTGATGAGAAGCGAAGCGATCTGCCTCCTAGTCTTCACCAGAGGTTTCCGATGTCTCTTCTATTTGGTGGTGATGGAAGTTATATGGCTCCACTCTCTTTGAATAATGATAACGTTATTACCAGTCTGATGAGTCAGGTTAGTCATCTGCTAAAAATTAAAAAGGAATTTAGAGACAGAAGTATGGGATTTCCCGATGCTTTGATCAATTTGTACTTAAGATATGCAATTGTTTTCAGTCCATTCCTCCTACGACATGGTACCGTCTTGTGGCTGGTTTGAATGCTCAGTTGCGTTTAGTACGCCGGGGTTGCCTTAGTACAATGTTTCGCCCAGTGCTAAGATGGCTCGAGACTTTTGCCAATCCTGCTTTAAGGATTTATGGTATCCGCGTAGATCTGGCGTCGTTCCAAGCAACAACCGACAGCTATACTCAATTTGGACTTTTGGTGTGTGTTATCGAAGAAGAAACTGGACTACTGCCTTTTGAAGATCTTGATGAAGGTTCCAGAAGTGAACAACTATCATGGTATGGTGTGCACTTAGAGTTCCCTTCAGATAGTCTATTTGGTTTCTCCTGCCTTTTGTCTCCACTCCCCTCCATTTTGGCATTCCTCTTTACTCTCATACTTCCCATCATTCCAGTTGTATCTGTTCTTCTATACAAGTCATGAATACATATTAAATATGTATGAATCGTATATGCATTGTTCATATTGCTGGCAGTTTCTGCCATTTATTGTGAAATTTCTATATGGATATCTTGTGGTCACTGAAGAAGGGGTTGGAGGGGAATGGCAAAAGACGGCAGGGGTTTTAATCATCTGAAGTCCTAGATTAATTAGTTCATGTCTGCAAGTTAAAACGTTTTATAATAACATCCAACGTCCCTCTGGAATTGGAGTATTGCTAGAAAAGAAGAGCAATTCATAGCTATTGCATACTTGAACATTATCTGTGCCAGTCTCTGCCATTTTTGCTATTTGGACTAGGCCCCAAATAGTTTCACCTATTAATGTGAGGGAACGTATCAATATTGATTTCACATCATTCCCTTTATTTGACTCCCTCTCACTGCAAGCGCCTAATTGATCTGTTTGTTTCATTGTTTGCAGTGATAGCAGCATAGACGGGCAGAATCCTGCGGGTTATCTAAGAGATGAATCAATTTTAAGGGGGGATGACAAAGGCACTGTAAAGCGGAAGTTTTACGGTGGGATTTTAGACATTGACAGCTTAAAGATGCTCAAGGAGAAAAGAGATCTGTTTTATGTTCTCTCTTTTCTAATCCATAACACTAAACCAGTTGGTCATCAGGTCTGCCCTACTCTCTCTACATCTCTTGGAGGATGGCTTTTAAGTTTCAATACTGAGGACATTTTGTTAATGTTGCAGGATCTTGTTGGTTTGGTCATTTCGATATTGCTGCTGGGCGATTTTAGTTTAGTGCTGCTTACTTTGCTCCAGCTGTATTCGATTTCCTTGGCAGATGTCTTTTTGGTTTTGTTTGTTTTACCTCTTGGGATGTTACTTCCATTTCCTGCTGGAATTAATGCTCTCTTCAGTCATGGGCAAAGGCGTTCTGCTGGTCTTGCACGTGTATATGCTTTGTGGAACATTACATCCCTGATTAATGTTGTAAGTAACCTTTATTCTTGAAAAGAAAAGAGTAATTATGCCTGTTGCCTACTTGTTTTAGTTATCTATATGTTCCTTTCCCAACTTATATACGTTTCCTTGGGCCAAGAAATGGTCAGATTCTTTAAATTGTCGTTATCTTCTGCCTTTCCTTTCCTTTCCTCTTTACTTAATGTGTCGTACTCTGGGGTTGACTGATGGAGGGAAAGCTGCAATATCGCTGATGTTCGATATAAAATCATCCCTAGTATAGGACTTCACATTTTCTCTTGTAATATGCTTAATCTATTTCTGTTCTTTTCCTCTGTTAGGATTTGTTTTCCCTGATAAAGTGTCAATTAGTTTGGAGTTATGATCTTTGTATACTTCTGAATGGGATCACTTCAAATTACTTCCTCTCCCAAATTTGAATGTTATCCTCTCTTTGGTTTATCTCAAAAACTGTGTCCACTTTCTTAACATATATCATTACCAGAATATTAGTTGCATAATCTACAACCATAAAAAGGCTGTTTGATGAAGAACCATTCTGCTCTAACAGTGCACATTTTTGGTACTCTGGCAATACCCTGTCCAAGTTAAAATACGTCTCAGTGTGTCAACTACTTGGGATGTGTATTGATCTGCTGAGATGGCTGAGTTACATCTCTGATTCTGTTGTCTCGAGAAGTTCTGTTCTTTTTTATCGACAGGGTCGTATGGTAGGGTATACAAGAATAGTGTTGAATAGGGTGTTGTATTAGTAATGCTGATATTACTTCTTATGCACTGTTTGGTTTTGTTTTAAAAAGCATGCATTACATAATTTTTTTTTAAAAAATTGTTTACAAAAATACCATCCACAAATACGGTGGAAAGGATGTGGAAAAGGTTTTGAGGGGGGCAATTGGATCTTTGACTATACTAATGCATCCATTGCTAATACCATGATTTGTCATGTATTAGTTGTACATAGCATTATACCAAATAGAGTGTATACCTAATGATAGGTTGAAAAAGTGTACGAAACAAGATGTCAGTAATGCACAAAGTTAATGCATGCATTATTTTTTCTAATGCATCTTACTGAATGGTGAACGGCCCCTCACTGTCTAAACCCTTCACTGAGGGTGTTAATAACTTTTAGCTAGGACTTAGGACTAGTATTTATTTGTTAGGATCTTTGTAAGTAGCTTCCTCCTTTTTTTTTGGCTTCATTTTGAAGGTCTCCAGGATATCCTTACAGATGAGGAATACAACATTACCAATTTTTTTTTTTTTAAAATAACTATTAGTTAGCCAACAGTTTTTGGGTTATACCTACTTACACTGTATATCATCAATTTCATACCAGATTGTCGCATTTGTCTGTGGATATGTCCACTATATCACCCAGTCAAGCCGAAAGCTTCCTTACTTCCAGCCATGGAACATGTAAGCATTCTGAAGTTTGTCCAATGTTGTCTGAAATTTATTCAATTTCGTACTGTTGTGAACCTTCACATTGCTCTTTATTCTTGCAGGGATGAAAGTGAGTGGTGGATATTTCCTTTTGCACTGGTTCTGTGTAAATGTATCCAATTGCAGCTCGTAAATTGGCATGTTGCTAATCTGGAGATTCAAGACAGGTCGTTGTATAGCAATGACTTTGAACTGTTTTGGCAATCATAATACTCAGCTGAGCAGAGGAATATATTCCGCTAACACCCTATCTTTTTTCTGGGTTCATTTTGATTTTTCTGCATCACCCACTTTTTGCCTTTTTATAGTCATTTAGATAGTGAATTGTCACAGATGTAGAAAGGAATTGGGTAGAAAACAGAAGAAAGTTGAAAGAGTAGATAGACATACTGAGAGAGGCATTCATTGTGTAACACCCCCCACCTTTGGTTGTGCAGTTGTGTTTCTTCACTGTAAATATCCAAGAGATCCCTCCCTCCCTCTTCTGGAAATTCTAATGTAATCTTAAGGGTGATGTTCATTAGTTTATTTTATTCAATAAGATGTGCTTTCCTACCTTAATTTTGTTGCCTTTCTACCTACATGTATGATTTCTGAATACAAGTTCAAAAATTAGTCCGGCTCGAGTCCGTCTTTTTTCGTTCTTTTTTGTATGTTCCATAGAAGTAGATTTCTTAAAAATATTGTTTTGGTAGATTTCTTCCCATTTGGCCAGCCTTTTTCTCAAAAAATAATACACTAATCTTTTTACAACTTCAAAATAAGAGATGTTGCTTTGTTGCTGCTAACCTAAGGGAAGTTCAAGGAAAACAAAAAAAAAAAAAAGTCCTATTCTGGAATATTTTCTTCTCTAATTAAGAAAAGAAATATGTTCTGTTCATACCTAAACGAGGGCATAGTGGAAACTAGGGTTATCAATTGCAGAATAGGTTTATTGGTATTGAGATATCGAATTAATGGGTGGTGTGGGGTATGTATTACTCGATCTTCTTAGTGGATAAACCATTTAAAGCTCAAGTATATTAAACTTTATATTCATACACTTTGCAATTAAGTACGTGTACGATGAAGTCAGAATTTGAGTGAAAATAGTGGGAGGAGACTTAGAACAACATTTCCCAATCGAGATGGGGTTACACTAGAGATCTACTCTTAGCCCATTTTATTTTATCCCGGTGATGGATGAATTGAAATGGCATATTCGAGGGGAGATACCATTGTTTACGCTATTTGAAGATGATATATGTGATAGACTTAAACTAAAATGGAGGTTTGGATTCAGACCCAAGAGTCGAAAAATTACATGTTGACTATGACTAAGACACAATACATGAAGTACAAATTTAATGACACATCACATGAGACGGATGTGGAAGTGAGGATCGATACATAGGTCATCCCCATGATAGGAAGCTTCAAGTATACTAGATTAATAATTCAAGAAAATAAAGAGATCGACAAGTCATACATTGTATTGAAGCGAATGGGATGAAATGAAGGGTTGCATTATGTATTATATGTGATAAGAACGTGTTTTATATGGAGATTGTTAGGTATATGTATACATAAATTACAGTAGAATAATAAAGACAAGTAGTCAAATAAGTTAAAGTTGAAGTATTCACCTGTCCTTATGGCTGGTTGAATACTCCGCAGATCAACAACCTGAAATTGTCCAAACTTGTTTCACCATCAACGAAGGCATAAAAAAATAAAAAACAATGACTCAAGTCATATGCGGTCCCTTAAAGTTGTCCGCATATTTCATTTAGGCACCTTAACTCAGGCTTGTACCTATTGAACATAAAATGAAAATCAGTTGAAAGACAAAAGTGCATGTGTCTCAAACACAAATACATAGCCGATGGACCAATGATGGATGCATGACATTATGTAACGACAAAGAACAATATGATCTATTCAGCCGTTATATTTATTAAAATAATACAGTACGATACAATACAAAACAATCTATATGCTTTTTGATAGTAGTCGTGACCAATGACCATCAACTCTCAGCTTGTTGGTAAGGTGAGAGCTTCAAGCCCGATTTCAGATGATGCACCCTCCACACAAGCACCACCCGGTGAAGGGGGGGGGGGTGCCCGAGGTGCCTCATCTTTTCATTTCGTCATTACTCATTCCCGTTAGACCGAAGTGTTTGGTCTTTCTTTCTCTGCGCCCGCTGAGGCTTCACTATATATATATATATACATATCAGTGTTTTCAAAAATATTTTTGGGGCGAGTCTCGGGGCGGGGCGTACCAAAAACGCTCTGAGGCGTAAATTGAAGATGTAGATCCATAAGGTGTAAGTTCTAAAATTTGAGACGTAAGCCCCGAACATTAAAACGTAAGTCCTGGAAGTAAAAACGTACCCCAAGAGTTTTTAATTTATTTTTTTGAACCTTTTTTGTTTTAAATCATATTTTTTATTATTGGTGTAATGATATTTCTCAAATAGTAATTATAATACTTTTTTTCTTCATTATTGATTATTAATACTTATCTCAAATAAAAATCATAATATAGTTTCTATATATTATATGTTATTTATAAAAATTATTTGTAAAATCATTGAAAGACTTACTTTTGCTTATTTTATTAGTAATAAAACTATAAAATTGAATATACATGAGATTACACTACGTAGATCTATGGGACTTACGTGCTGTGTCTCGGGGCTCACGCCTCGCCTCACGCCCCTGCCTTTTAAAACATTGATATCTATACTACATTAAAAGCATGAACTCCAAAAGATCAATGTTAAATTACGGAAATACCCCTCACTTAAAACTTAAAAAGATTACACAAATGCCCCTCACTTAAAACTTAAACAAATTACACAAATACCCCTCACCTAAAAGAACCCCTAACTTCACACCCCTTCCGCAACAAACACCTTTGCTGCGAATAGTCACCGCTTTCACCGGAAAGCCACCAAATTCCCCTGCAACTACCCAACGTTCAATAAAAAACCAAACAACACAACCTCTGGATATTGCCCTATTTATATCAACCACACCCACAACATCGGTTCCCATTGTTAATTCAACTTCTGCTATCGGCGCACAGGTCTGCCATGTTTCCTCCTCTTGGTACCATCTACTTTTTAGCAAACTCAACTCTTACATGTGCAATTTGTAATTAAATTAGGTAAATATTGTTCATCCATCTGCAACCGCATTACAATATTGGACTTGTGCTTGAAATATTTCACTCCACATCAAAGTTTGTAAGTTTTCACTCTCTTTAGGTTTTGAATTATGGTTTTTATTGGACTACTTGCAGCACCTAACAATGTTACAATCGACTTAGTAATTCCTTTCCTTTAACTACTACACACTGCTGCCCAGAATTAACATTGATATTCACTTTCCGCTATGCACCTCTAACCATCCAGATTCATCACAAATGGCGACTGAAACCGAACTATAAAAGCAGAGTGTCCCCATTAACAAGATACCAAAGCACTCTGTTGATTGGGTGATGAGAGTATTGGTTATTCGCAAGGGTTCTGTAATTTCGTACAACAATTCACGCCATGAAGGAACTTTCCAAACTGTAATATTAGTGGACGACGAGGTATCACTTTTGCTAAGCTTACATGTTATCGTTCCTGTTTATTCCCTTTTACTTCTCTAATGACATCACATGTTGCTTACATCAATAATAGGGGATAAAGTTGCAAGCGACACTATTTAACAAGCATATCGATACATGGAAAGACTTCTTGAAGACAAATAAGACATACTACATTGCTAAAGGGTTGCTGGATCGGGTCAACCCCAACTATACTTCTGTGCACAAAGAGATTGAACTGACCATTACAGACAATACAATCATAAAGGACAGTGACCATGTTGTTTCAACACACAACTTCTCTAATGGTTTTGTATCTTTGGAACATGCAGAGAAATTGCCTAATGGTGCCATATTTGGTAACTCTTCACACGACTTATTAGTAATTTCCGTCAAGTACATCATACATATCACTAATTTACATGTCCACTATTCAGACTTGATTTGTGTGTTAGTTACGGTGAATCCCATCATTGTAAAAGGCGATAGCAAAAGACGCGAAATTGTTGTTACAAATGAACTGTAAGTTGTCATTCTTTGTTCTTCGCCCACCGTCCATAATAATCTGCCAGTGCATTCATAATACTTGTCTATTTCATAATCCAGCATGGAGTGTACAACTGTTACTCTATGGGGAGATTTTGCAGAAAACGATGGCGCCTTTCTTGAAAAGCTGAAAGATGACCAACCTATTCTAGGCTTATGCGATGTGCGAGTCTCAATCTATAAAGGTATAGACAACCTCTCCTCTTTTCTGATTGTACACATTTCAAGTATATTTGTTTATTCCTTGATTAAATATGTTGTTTCCAATGTAGGGACTTTTGGGATATCAACTATACCCGTGAGCAGTGTGTTGATCAATCCAATATTTCAAAAAGCACTAGATCTTCGAGCCTGGTACAGAACCTCATTTACTAAATTGCTTGGCAGAATTAATCTAACCTTACTGCCACAACTTCTGTTCAATGAAGAATATAACAACAGAGCCACAATTTTTTTTTATGGAGAACTATATATAACCAGTCCTATCAAGTTTTCATTTAATCTAAAAAAATTTAAACGCACTAACTTTTCCTCAAATATGTGCAACAGTTAACTCACATATTTCTATATATAGGCGTGAAGTCATAAAGGCCGAAAAGAAACCTATCACAACCACACCAAGTAAGGTAATGAGAAAAGCCACAGAAGTGACGTTACTCAATATTATGGATGGCACACTTGCTGATACACAGGTACCTACAAATAGACCCTTTCCCTATCCAAATAGGACCATTGCTTACCAAAAATAATGTTGAATATTGGTTATTAACAATGTCCAGGAAGCTTTATACAAGTTCAAAGCCAAAATTGTAGACATACTCAATATAGAAGAGCCATGGTACTCGTCCTGCAAACAGTGCCACAAGAAAGTGCAAGTTAAACAAGATACAGTGACGTGTCCCAATTGCAACATCCAAAATGGGGAGTATGAAATGAGGTTAGACTTGCCTGAAATGAGCAATCAACATTTTCTGATAATATACACCCAATTTAGCTATGAACACTAACTTATTCACCCTATTTTAAAGATACTCCTTACGACTTGAAGTTTGTGATGAAGAACAACGTGCCCGAGTGACACTATTTGATGCGGCACAAATGTTATTAGGTTGCACTGTCGAAGACTACATCAAAACAACCTCGGAAAAGGTTTGCCTTGTACTTATACCATCTTACACTATAGTTAAACCTACTTTAATCCCAACAAAAAAAAAAAATGTATGACTAACTTTCAGAAATATTTTTAACCTAATATATCCTATTGTTGATGTTTCTTATAGAATGAAGAAAGTATGTACTACCGCAACTTGGTGTTCAGTAAAGACAAAGAATTCAAGTTCCTTGTCCGCATCGATATGAATAATTCGAACCCGTGCAGGAGTCTAATTGCCCAGGAAATACATCCCGTTGAAGATGAAGCAGTAATTTTAATGGCAGATGAATCAAAATCACAAACACCACCCACAAACAGGGCCAACAAATCCAATGCACTAGAAAGACATGTTCTTGAGGATGAAGCACCAATCATAGTGGAAGAACCACAACCTGTGAGGCCGCGAAGGAAAAGGTGTAAGAAATCCAAAGTGATACATGTCCTTGAAGATAAAGCACCACACCTAGTGGCGGAAGTAAAATCTGTGAGACTGCAAACGAAGAGGGGCAAAAAAAACAATGAGCTAGAAATACATGATGTTGGAGAAGGAGCACCAGACATAGTGGAAGAAGCCCAATTTGTGAGGCCGCAAAGGAAGAGGTGTAACAAATCCAATGTCCTACATGTCCTTGAAGATGAAGCACCACACATAGTGTCGGAGGTACAATCCCTGAGGCTGCGAAGGAAGAGGGGAAAGAAATCCAATGCGCTAGAAATACATGATGTTGGAGAAGAAACAACAAACATAGTGGAAGAAGTACAATCCATTATGCCACCAACAAGTCGGAACAAGAAAATCAATAATGAACATCTCCAAATTAAAACTAAGATCAGGTCACAGAAGTTGAGCCATAATGGATGAGTTCCTTGATAGTGTTACCGAGCATTGCGTACCGTCTCCAAATAATGAAACGTCTACAACATAATGTCTGTATGTTAGTAATGTCTGTATTTTATTGGCTTCATCGGCTGCTTATCTAATGTATGTATGTTTATTCTTACCTAATTAAATGTGAATTATGGAAATAATAGCACCTTAATAATTAATATTTCAATCGCTTGGGTTGCTTTTTATATTGTCGTATCTCCCCTTCCAATATAATAACGTATGTTCCTCGACATTGAAAGGATTATACGATTGACTAAATTAAGAAATTATCACATTATAAATAGTTCTTATAGTTGTGTTAAATGGTATAACATTGTACATACGTCAACTAAATTAATAGTCAAAAGGCATTTTGGGAGGATGCTTCTCAAAATTCGCTATCATGTACACACCAAATAAGCAATTACTAAACCACGTATTTCATCATCGAGAGTCCAACAATCTTTTGTACCAAATCACTACAAATATAAAGTGATATAGCGATTTAACTTGAAAATACATGTTTTCCCTCAATAACATGATTAACGTAATTACACACTTATAGAACGACATTGTACAGTTCCAGCACACCCAAATAACCAAAAAAAAACCCCAATAAACCAACGGTAAAGTAGTATTACTTCGCTACATTAACTTATACAGCCAAAAATATCCGCTAAAACTAAAACATCTACCATTGAACGACTAACCCATTAAAGTAAAGACATTGTCTTATACAGAGAAATATTTATACAAACTTGGTTAACTCTTACACGCGTAATGTTTGGTCTTACGACTTTACGGACAAACTCAACAAGAAAAATACTAAGAAACTACAAATTAACAATTTAAAAAAGAAAATACGAAAAGACACGAACCCCTAGGAACACCCATCACCGAAAGAATATTTAAAATAGTAACATCCTTACTACACATTCACATTCAACAACAACAAGTAATATCGTAAAAACACAAAAAAAAAATCGCTACACTTCAAAAAAATAAATATACGGTATATACAAAGTACCCTATAAAATAAGAATTTAAATGTATTCCATTAATACGGCGATACAATTGAAAGATATTCGACGCCGACATGAATGGCACCTCTAGAGCATCACGTCTCTCCAGAGAAGTTACAACCCCCTAAAAAGTTACGCCCTCCTGAAAAGTTACAATCAAACCCAAAAGAGGCCAGTTCAAGAAATGCCACCAGTTCCCCAAGGATATCCTTAAAACAAATGCCAATGCACATCAAACTAAAAAAACACAAAAAACTTTGAATAATTTGTAAGATATTGGCGCACCATTACAATACTATCGACTGCACACATTCATAGTTTCAGCCACTATAGACTGTGAGTATCACACCATTCATTTCATAAAATACTATTGTCGTTATACATTGCACAACTATCTGTACAACTTCACTGAACTGGGACATCTGCACGATTTTCTGAATTGTTGGGGAAAATTGGCAATTCAAACTGCAAATTGTAAGTAACAATTCATTCTTTTTAATCATTGTTGAATCTTCTTACTACTCCACCTTAGTGAACTTCTCTCAATAATCTCTAAATTGGTATGCGCGTGTTGGGAGACTAAAATAACATAAACAAAATACTGGTATGCACCATGGATAGAAAACAAACACCCCTGCCGAGATTTGCTCGGCTAACCTGCGGGCTACTACTTGCTTCACCCTGGTAACCTAAGACAAGGGATACCAAGGTACCTGCACACACACTTAAGGGATGCACACACAACAAAATAAGAAAAAGATGAAAATACAATAAGTAAATGCTACAAAGAAAATGTCAGTTGCAGATGTTCGACTAACTAAACCAACAATGCTCTGAATGTCGGTTAATCAGGGCTAAGTTGAATAAAAAAATAAAAACATAGATGATGATGTATGTATGGACTTGTCCTTAACTAAATATGTACATTTATATTCCTACACAATAAAATTACCCCGTACCAGTTGCACACATACGTAAATCAATATTTAGTAAAAACCTTGTGATGGCAGACCATGATGAAGATGTCCTTTAAATTATTTTGTAAGGTGTACAATAACTTCAATACGTGGTACAGTGTTTACATTGAATGTATTACTTTCATTATTTTATACCTGATTGACTATTTAAGAAAAGAATACACACAACTGATGCATTTACATAGTCACAATATTCAAACAGGTTAGTCATTACTCAAAGGGAGGATAATTAAACATGGAATGCCAATCTAATCAGGGGATGAAAACAACAGGTCAGATATACATGCCATAAATTTAACTGTTAATTTAGAAAGCAAGATCGTTTCGAATGAGAAAATACTAACATGCTTACATCACAAATTCAATAGGACACAAGCGAAAAATACTGACAGATGTAGAAAGGGCATTGCGCAGGGTGCAAAAATATGATGCCTCAACAAAGCCATCGGAAGTTGGATATATTGAACCAAAGTTGAAGAAGCGGAAAAAAAGTTGGCTACTTGAAGCTTTATCAGAGAAGAACTATAATGAAGGTAAATTGACTAAAATATAGTAGCCTAAGACTTACAGACCTTTGAGTGGAGTCAGCAAAGAAATATTCTATGCTAAAAAGGTTGATTTCGAATTGTGAATGTAGGGGAAACAAATGTGAACTTATCAACAACATCTACTCATAAGCTGCAAAAACAATTGGATTGCATCTACTGTCATGCCAGGAGGCTTGAATATGAGCCTCCAACATTATGTTGCGCAAGTGGATATATTAAGTTGGCACCCAACGAAGTTGGAGAGGACTTATACAAATTATTTACAGATGAGTCCAAACAGGACGAGTTATTTCGGAAACACATTCGAGCCTATAATAGCATCTTTGCTTTTACATCATTTGGAGTACAACTCAACAAAGAACTGGCATCTTCAAGGAAAGGCATTTACAGCTTTAAGGCGCAAGGACAAATCTATCACGATCTACCCTCATTAATCCCAAAGGACGACATGCCACGTTTCTTCCAGCTGTACTTCTACGATATAGATCATGAAGTGGCCAACAGAATGTCAATACTACAAGATGCAAATTTATCAGAGGAAGTCATGGAAAAAATCAGGAAAATAATGGAGCAAAATCCGTATGCTAAATTTTTTACACAACTCAAACACCATTCAAGTTTTCAAAACATAGAAATACGTATAGCTGCAAATGCTTCTTTAGATCAACGGGTGTATAACAAACCTTCGGTGGATCAAGTTGCAGCAATTTGGGTTGATGGAAACAATCCAAATATCCCGTTTGAAAGAGATATTGTAGTACACGAACATTCCGGGAACAAACATCGAGTAAAACATTATTATGGTTGTTATGATCCTCTACAATATCCATTGATTCTACCCAATGGTGAAGGAGGTTGGCATCAAGGAATAGTGAAATCACGCAATCCAAATATCGGCATTACTACAGATGCAACAACAAGTGCCAATATATGCCCTCGATCATATGCCAGTGCAACAGAGGTTTTGAACAATGAAGAACAAGGTTAGCACATTTACATTTTGCATTCATTCAAGTAATTCACACACCACACATAGTGTAATAACAAACTCAATTAATATTGCAACTAACAACTTCATATGAAGAGGAAATATATGGCAACAAATATGAAACAACATTAAGATATGTAATGGCTTGAAATATCATATTCCAGCAGGTCTTTGAGTAAATCCAATGAAGGTGGAAAATTTTCACACATACGTGTAAAAAAAAACATTCTATTACAATATGTTTGTGAACGTGATATTGTAATAATATAACATTTATAGAAGGCCACACACTTTCTGATAAACTGAACTCCAAACTAAACTTATTTAAATTATTTGTAGGTGTACGCCGCGAAAAAAGAGGTTGTGTTTCCTGTAGAGAGTACTACTGCTATAAACTACAAGTACGAACAAATGAGAAAACAATTTTGTTACTATGTGGTAGATTGTTACAACAATTTGTAGTGGACATGTACATCAAAATTGGAAACCACACGACTTGAATATTACAGATTCGAACAATCAAATTACAGAAAAGAGATATTACAAGGTATCGTTGATAGTGTTACGTCAGGAGAATGTAGAGGAGAGAAGGTTGGTCAGAGGGTCTTACTGCCAGGATCATTCATCGGAGGCCCTAGGGATATGCGACGACGCTATATGGATGCTATGGCTCTGGTACAAGAGTTTGGAAGACCAGATCTATTTATCACCATGACGTGTAATCCTGAATGGACAGAGATTCAAGAACAACTATGTGTGGGGCAAGTCGCTCAAGATCGGCCAGATTTGGTGACCAGAGTGTTTAGAGCAAAATTACAGGACCTAAAAGACCAAATATTTAAAAAGGAGATTTTTGGCCCTACAGCAGCACATGTTTTTGTGGTTGAATTCCAGAAGAGAGGACTACCACATATACACCTACTACTAATATTAAAAGAAGGTCATAAAATAAGATCAGCAGATCAGTACGATCGATATATTTCAGCAGAGTTGCCTGCAAAAGATAAGCAGCCAGAATTACATGAATTAGTTATCAGACATATGATTCACGGGCCTTGTGGTATAAAACGACAATCAAGTCCATGTATGAAGGACGGACAATGTAAGTTTCACTACCCCCGAGCATTCAACAACAAAACAATACAAGGGAGGGATGGATATCCGATTTACCGAAGAAGAAATGATGGGAGGACAAGTGAGGTCCGAGGTATGAAGATGAATAATCAGTGGGTTGTCCCTTATAACCCATATTTATTGAAGAGATATAATTGTCACATTAATGTAGAGGTTTGCTCAGGTGTTAAAGCAATAAAGTACCTGTACAAGTATATATATAAAGGACATGATAAATGTGTAGTTTACATAGAGTCAGACGATGGTGAAAAGTTCATAGATGAAATCCGCAGCTTTCAAGATGCACGTTGGGTGTCACCACCAGAAGCGATGTGGAGGATTTACGAGTTTACTCTAAGCGAAATGCAACCGGCTGTTATAAACCTACAACTACATCTACCCGGCAAACAAGCAGGTACTCTTAAACATATTCTCACATAGTATAAACAAGAGTCACACTTCTCCAACTAAGGCCATTATTATTAATAAGAACCTTATGTTTTCAAATGTAGTCTACTACTAGAAGAAGCAGAATCTTCAAAATATTGCAGGCTCCCAGTTTGTTCAACAAACTATGCTTACTGAGTATTTCAGGATGTGCTTGAATGACACGGAGGCTCGCAATTATCTATATAGAGAATTCCCCAAGCATTATGTTTGGAATTCCCAATCTAAAATATGGACTAAAAGAAAATCACGCTCTGTGATCGGCAGAATAAATATTGGTAAGTATTACTTTCATTATGTGCTATTTATGACTTGTGGTAACCTAACTAGGCTGCCCTATATCACATCTAATCCTAGAGAAGGTGAAAGGTATTACGAGAGATTATTATTGAATCATGTTTGAGGTCCGACATCGTTTGAAGACTTACTCACTGTTAATGGGTTACATTGTCATACTTTCAAAAAAGCTGCCAAAGAAAGAGGCTTATTAGAATCAGATGATAGCATTTCAGAATGTTTACGCGAGGCCGTAATCTTCAAGATGCCTACAGCTCTTCGAAGTTTGTTTGCGACAATCTTAGTTCATTGCAAACCAACAGATGTGAGACGACTATGGGAAACATATTATAACGATATGTCAGAAGACATTCAAAGGACCCATGACAAATCACCCGAGGCAAAACTCCAGAGTACATTGCAAAGTGTAAATTCATACTTGGAGAGTATGGGTCAGAGTGTTGCAAAATTTGATATGCCACAAATCCAACAAGAATTAAATAAGTGCGACACATATGAATGCCGAGAAATAATCGAAGACATGTCTGTGAAGGTGCCAATTGAAGATATGGAGGCACAATCAAACTTGAATGAACAACAAGCACAAGCTTTCAAGACTATCTTGGAAAGGGCCGACTCTGGAACACCAGGATTATTCTTTGTAGACGGACCAGGTGGAACTGGAAAAACATATCTATATCGCGCATTGCTGGCACATATTAGATCAAGAGGTATGATAGCATTGGCATCCGCCAGCAGCGGAGTAGCAGCAACAATCTTACCGGGAGGCCGGACAGCTCACTCGCGATTTGAAATACCTCTACAAGTTAATGAATCAACAATGACAAATATGTCAAAACAAAGTGGCGGGGCTAAACTTATTAGACAAGCCAAACTAATAATATGGGACGAAGCGCCAATGGCTAAGAGACACACAATTGAAACTATCGACAGAAGCTTTCGTGATATAATGGACAAGAATGTACCTTTTGGTGGAAAAGTAATGGTCTTTGGAGGTGACTTTCGACAAGTGCTACCGGTGGTTCCTAAATCAACGCGAGCAGAGACAGTGAATGCAAGTTTGGTGAGGTCATATTTGTGGCCTTTGATGGAAAAGATTCATTTAACGTCCAACATGAGAGCTAGAGCAGATCCAAATTTTAGTGCCTTCTTGCTTCGAGTTGGAAACAGGGAGGAAACCACAATACGGGATAATTTAATACTACTACCACAACAAATGGTGGTCCACCCAAGTGGTCAGGGAAAGCCAGAAGAATGCTTGGTAAGGGAAATTTTTAAAGGGCTACAACAAAATTACAGATCGGCAAATTTTATTACTGAAAGGGCAATCTTAGCAAGCCGAAATGAATTTGTAGATAATATAAATGAAATGATGACCACTCAATTCCCGGGAGAAACCAAAACATATATCAGCTTTGACTCGGCAGAAGACGATACCAACAATTATTATCAAGAAGAATACTTGAATACATTAACTCCGAATGGTCTACCACCACATAGGTACATCACTATACTCAATCAATCGTTAACATTTATAATATTATATTAGTTTCAATCTGTGTACCATCTCAACAACACATGTTTGGTAAAATACATAACATATTATGTATCTTTGAATTCAACATATTAGATTAGTTTTGAAAGAGAATGCGCCTATCATGATGTTGAGGAATTTAGACCCATCAAATGGTTTATGCAATGGGACACGATTGATTTGTAGAGGTTTTGACAACAATGTCATACATGCCGAAATAACGACAGGAGAATTTGCAACAAAACAAGTGTTCATACCAAGAATCCAATTATCGCCACCTGAGAATGAAGGATATCCTTTTAAGTTTATTCGGAAGCAATTTCCAATACGTCTATGTTTTGCAATGACGATAAATAAGGCTCAAGGTCAAACAATTCCTAATGTTGGATTGTATCTTCCACAACATGTTTTCTCGCATGGGCAACTATATGTAGCATTATCAAGAGGAATCTCAATGGCAACAACGAAGGTATTGGTTATGAATGAACAACCAGATATTAGGACAGGGACATATACAAGAAATATCGTATACAAGGAAGTATTATGTTAGACAAGTTCTCAATCTTTTTTACCGTAATGAATTTGCAACAAAACTAACACATGACATGAAGCTAATCAAAATGTCTTGGCTTATATTTATAGGTTCAGTTGTTAAAGAGACGAGCTAACCATCGAAATGCAACTTATGAAGGAGATGCAACTATTGTGAAAACTTTTATATTGTTAATTAGGATACAAATGACTTCATACTCCTAGAAGGTATCCTATATTTTGGAACAATGTCATAACATGAACCAAATGTGGCATTGTGCAATATTACATATCCGCTTATAGATAGAGCTTTGGCACCATTAAGTGCATCTAATACAAGCCAATTAGCCGGACTTAATGGAGTATTATTTATAAACAAATATTTAATAACTAAGAAACATCTATACAAACAAATCCCTTATGACATAGGCCATATATTTAACACATAGACTATGCATGCTTTACTGCTTCACAATTGTAGGCAAAAACTAGTATTTAGTAACTGAGAAACATCCATAACAACAAATCCCTTAAGTGACATATTACATATATTGAACAAATGGAGATTTCATGATTTACTCATTCACAATTGTAGGCATCACGAGACTAGGCAGCCACGTGCAACGCACGTGCGGTAAATCTAGTATATATATATACATACATTATGAAATAGTACGTAATAATCATTTGAACAAAAGTATTACTTTGACTAAAATCCATTTATGCATTAAGAAAATTTCAATTGATCTTTTAAATCACAATACTAATTATTTCTACTTTTAAGAATTCCTTTTTAGGAAAAACAAAAGAATCTTAAATAAAATACTTTAATTAGTGCAACCAACTAAGTAACTTTTTAAAGGTAAATATCATTACCCCCAAATAATCAATATAGGCCGATCAAGATTGAACTCGCACGGCACCACCCGCCTGCCTGCCGCCATCTCCAGCCGTAATTGGAGAGAAAAAGGGGAAGTGAGAGATATCGAGGGCTGTTAGTTGGGATCGCAATACAAATTCAAGATTAAGCTCTTCCTTCATTTTTGAGGACAATTTATTAATACAGAAATCTTGCGAGCTCAAAAGGAGTTTTTCTTCATCTGATAAAAGGGATGTCGCAGAAATTCTCTGCCACACTCAGAATTGGGGATTTGAATGATTACATAGCTCCCTCACAGGGCTGTGTAGTTTCCCTCAAATCTAATTCTAATAGAATCAACAAATCCGAGGTATACTTTTTTTTTTTTTGAAGGTTAGGGTTTTATTTTTCATGGAAGGCTTTGACATATTTCCTTTGATGAATCAGCATGAAGTAATGTAATTCTTATTTTTGAGCTTTTCGGTGTAGGGTAAAAAAATGTATTTGAGCTCTTAGACATAGATTTTGTTCATGTTAATTTGAATTTAGACTTGTAGGATTTGGGGGTAAAGAGGAACCTTTATGGTTAAATAATGAATTTTACGCAAGGGTGAGAGTGAAAATTGACTTGTATCTCTTTGGACTGCAATTGGTTTGTTGCGGTTGAAGAACTAGTGCTCTAACTAATGTTATTAATGCTTTACTTGGCGGATGACCAGAATGTGGGAAAAGCTGGAGCTTTGAGCAAACCAGTACAAACAGAACCCGTCAAAATTTCTCTCAAAGATTGCTTGGCTTGCAGGTATTATCTCTTTTCTCTTGCTAGGATATAGCATTCTAGGCAACCAATAATTATGTGGACAAAGGAGTGTAAACCAATAATTAATCTAATGCAGTTAAAATCATGTCAATCAAGTCCAAAGTCTACTATAAATATTGGATTTAGAATAAAAGATGTAATTTTAGGTTTTTAGTGGCCAGTTAGCTGATACTAAATTTCTAATTTCTTAATTAATTAATTTCAACCACATTGTTTTCTTAACAACGAAGGTATCATTGTATCAACTATATATATATATATATATTAACTAGTGTTGTGCTACTTAAGTCTGTGAAAACACGTTAGCCTTAGTACCTTGATGCTAAATTTCTAATTTCTTAATTAATTAATTTCAACCACATCGTTTTCTTAACAACTAAGGTATCATTGTATCAACTATATATATATATATATATTAACTAGTGTTGTGCTACTTAAGTCTGTGAAAACACGTTAGCCTTAGTACCTTGATGCTAAATTTCTAATTTCTTAATTAATTAATTTCAACCACATCGTTTTCTTAACAACTAAGGTATCATTGTATCAACTATATATATATATATATATTAACTAGTGTTGTGCTACTTAAGTCTGTGAAAACACGTTAGCCTTAGTACCTTGATGCTACGCTAAAGAGCTATGTGAGACAAAGTGCACAACTTGGCTTCACCAAGCTTCGGGGCTTAAGCGTGCTTTAAGTGACCCTTTAACAACACTGGCCCTGGCTATATATCGACTGACGATTCAAATAACCTGAATCTTTTAATTGTTTTGGTTATAAGGAATTGTGTGCAATGTTTGTGTATATATTAGAACTCCTGCGCTGGTCCTTGTTTGCTGTGAGTTCAGCTCCTATAAGTTACTCATAAAAATGTTACTTGATAGGCTATTAATTTTATTTAGTTTTACTTTGTATTTGAATTTTGTTGCTTGGGAAACTAAAAACAAATGCCTCTCTCTATATGTATGATTTAACAACGGTGAGCAACTGAGCTTGTTCCCTGATTGCAGTGGGTGCATTACGTCAGCAGAAACAGTCATGCTTGAGAAGCAGAGCTTAGATGAGTTCCTTTCCAATTTGGAAAAGGGAAGGACGACGGTTATTGTCTCTCTCTCCCCCCAGTCTAGGGCCGCTCTCGCTGTTCATTATGGACTTTCTTCACTTCAGGTTGGTTTTGGTGTTGGTATTTTCATATTTGTAGTTTACTGTCTGCAGTATATCTTCTCACCTGATATGACCGATGTAAATATTACTTCCATCTTTTTGCTCTTGAAAAACATATATTTTTTGGGGGTTGTTTGGGGGGGGGGGGGGTACATGG